TCCCCTCCCCCCAAAACTATGCAGATGGGTCTACATAGTTTCAAGCTCTGACCAACATAACCAGATGCGAAAATTGGCCTCGAGTCTAATGAAAATTAGGCACAAACCTGGAAGACACCTGTCTTTGCCATCTGGTTTCTCTTAGGCCAGTAGTGGAGTCAGGGTGCTGTGCTGTGTGGGATCAAGAGCAGGAGGAGTGCAGGTGAAGCCTGTGAGTGGTGCAGAGAAGGGGCTCAGTCCATGTTCCAGCAAACAGTTCTTACCATCAAGATACAGTCAAGTAAGTTAAGGGGATTATTACATACTAAGATTTAAGTACCGTTAGGTGATTTCATCACTGCCATTTATTATGAGAGACAAGGCATCTGGTGTCTGTTTCAAAACAGTACCAAACCTAGAGGTAAGAAAATTCAGCATCTGGTTTCAAAAAAAAGAAGTTTGGAGGGCCTGCTCCCATCAAAACAAAGTAAAAGACCCAGAGATTTTTGTCAGCTCCTGGCTCATTAGTTAATGCCAATGATGTTAGCAACAATAAAAATTAGGCGTCTTTTTTGGAAGGAGTAGGTTCTGGACTTTGTGACAGCCAATGCAAGAGCCCGTCACAAAGTGATAGTCCAGAAGTGCCGAGAGCCTTCCCTACCATGCTGACACTGCCAGGTTCACGCTGTAGCCATTTCACTGCAGGTGCCACTTGTGGAGGAAAGGAAGTTGAGGGATTTACATCAGCTTTTGAAATCCCAAATAGAGTAATAGTGAAAATTCTCCTACTCCTGGCAGTGATTCCTGTACAATCATAATTGCGTTCTCCCATGAAAAACACTTTCTTGGAAGCCATGAGACAATCTTCCTACTCTGGATTTTTTGCAATGATCTAACATGTGTTGTATGTGAAATTTAAGTAAGAGTTTTCCATGGTAAGTGTTTTTAAAGTTGTCATATGTTAGACATCAAATTTGGAAAAATCCCCTTAATATTTAGGCTTTCCAGTTAGCTCAGTATCCTGATGAAACTGCTGCCAGAATTAATTGAGGCTTCAAGGAAGGGAATGACTTTCACTTGAAGTACTGTAAATAGCAGAGGCAGGCAGGCATAATTTAAAAGTTATGAAACTCTAGTGCCAGATTATTGGAGAAAAATAACATCTGCTAAAGCTAATTAAAGTTTAATATGCTTAATAAATGTGATTGTTACAGACAAAAAAAATCATTAAAGTGCTGTAGAAAATTGTTAAGTTACCATCAGGACACATAATAAATTGATGATTTTTTCCACTCTGAATTAATGCAAATTCCCGTTGTACTGTATTCAGTTATGCACAGGATGGTGCCCTTGACTCAGATTTCAATGAAGGACTTCATTTTTTTACTTTTAAGACTCTAAGTAGGAAATTCAATTAGCATTATGAAAGAAACACTAAAATATGGTATTTAACTGTAGAATATATTCCACGCTTTCCACTTGCACAGTAACTTTGCCAGCAGTCACTGACCCTGCCTTCAGAGATCTTTTTCTGTTTCAAAATTGTGATGCTTTCATTTTAGTTCATTCAAGCATTTGAGAAAATTATTGTACTCGTGTACTCAGAATGTGGAGTAATAAATGTTCTTTCTGGTTCTCCTTCGGTTCCTATTCTAACATTTTTATGAAAGATTTAAAGTAGCATATAAACTATGATTAGAAAAAAGACAGTGGGTTTTAGCATGTTACGTGCCATTATATTTCTTAAGTTGAGTTTGTATTTAACTGTAGAGAGACCTATGAAGCACGTAAGGAAGCTGTGTGACAAACAGGAGGCTGCGAGTCTCTCGTAGCACTTTGTAGGCTGCTCTTCCTCAGTTTCTCCCCATCGTAAAAGGTACACTCAGTTCAATATGTAGATGAAACGAATTCCCGCTGAAACACAGTTCCTGCCTGTTGGGTGCATTTTGGTGGTTTGTGACAGCTTAGATGCTTCCAGAGGTCCCCGTCGGAATGGAAGCATGGCTCCAGTTTTGTTCTCCATTTTCCACCACGATGGTTAGAGCTAATTACTATTTTTTATACTGTTGGATTATTTTTTTCTTGTAACAAAATTAGTGTTGTTATAGAAAATTGGAAATTGTGGTTAAGCATAAGGAAGAAAAAGTCTATATTCTCTCCCACTCCAACCGTATGTTTTTATGTTTCCTTCCTTTTATGAATTTGTGTTTGAGTCTACATACATAGGTATGTGTTAATGTAGATATACATAAATTTTAAATATAATTGTAGCTGTATCATGTGTACAGTTTTATAGGCTGCCTCTTTTACTCATTACATCCGGATCATTTTCCCTCAAGTTAAATGTTCTTTGAGGGGCCGGCCTGGTGGCACACTGCTACAGTGCGCCGCTTGGGAGTGCGGAGGCGCTCCCGGCAAGGGTTCGGATCCCACATACAGACCGGTTCCCGCTCACTGGCTGAGCGAGGTGTGGGAGCAGCACCGAGGGTTGCGATCCCGTTGCCGGTCCCGGTCTGGTCCGGGGGCAACACTGAGGGTTGCAATCCGTTGCCGGACACGAAAAAGGACAAAAAAAGGGGAAAAAAAATAAAAAATAAATGTTCTTTGAAATATTTTTAATAAACATGTCTCATCATGTGAGTTTACCACAGTTTACTTACTATTTTTTATTGGCTGTTTACAATTGTTTTTTCCTTATGATGCTATCTGTGAACATCCTCATGCATAAATTATTTTCTGCATCTCTAATTATTTCTTGGAGTGCAATCCTAGAAGTAGAGGTGCTGGGTCAGAGGATATGAACGTGTATGAAGCTCTGGCCACTCAAAGAGTTATGAAGTTAGGCCTTGGAGGGGAGAGAGTGGTGTTAATTAGAGTGTACCTTTACATCTGGCATTTGAAGCACAGTTCCCCCAGTTACAGCGCTGAGGGAGAGAACCAGGCACTGCACTGGGCCTGCCATGAGGAGTTACCCTCAATGGAGCTCTGATGGCTGTGCCAGATTACAGTAAATTCCACCCGCTGGGAGGGTGAGCAGATTGAGGGCAGTCCGCACTTTTTCGTTTCCATGTTTGAAGGGAACACATAAATCACATCTCCTGTATCTCAGATATGAGGCAAGTAGCTAATGATATTCGTGTATAAGAGGAAGATATAATCACTGTAATGTACTTGTAATAAAAGACTGACATTTCCATAGATCTCATGCAGTAAGTCTGCACTTACCAGTACCTAACATTTAGGAATTTAGTTTGCAGATATATTTGCACAATTGTAGACGTACCTACACAGTTATTTATCGCATCATTATTTGTAAAATCTGAGACATCACGAGTGCCCGCGTCACCATGTTGTGCTGCATGTCACAAGGAGGGGTCTGTAGCCTTGAAGAAAGAGGAAGGGAGCCACTGGTAGGGAAGGTAACTAAGACGTAGCGAATGGAAAAAGCAAGGTACAGAACAGTGTGTGTAAAATGGGGATGTGTTCTGTTCTGAAGAGTGGGGGAGGGAGTCTGTTTCCTGGGCAGTGCCCTAAGTGTCTGTGAGGGAAGCATCTGTTGCTCATGGAAAGGGGCAATGAGTGTCTGCCAGAGAGGAAGGAGGATTTTTACACTGTGCCTAAAAATACCCAGAATGTCATTATCACATCTAGAAAATCACCTTAATTCTTTAATACCATCAGTGTTTGATTTTCCCTGATTTTCTTTCTCTTTCTCTCTCTCTTGTTTTTTCCTTTTTTAGCAGTTGCTTAGATCGTGGTACAAGCAAGCCACATTCCATGCATGGCATTTGGTCAGTGCATCTCTGTAATCTTTTCTCGTCTACAAGTTCTGCTTCCCTCTCTTTCACATTGTGATTTAACTAATGGAGGAACTGGGTTTCTTCCTTATATCTTGTGAACCAATAGAGGTTTCATCAGATCCTAGATTTGAATATTTCTTTCTTGACAATACCATCACATAGGTAATGTCGTGCATGTCCCATTTCCTTGGCTCTCTGGGAGACCCACTGCTTGTGAATCATCTCTCTGAGATGCTGGAGTTGGTCTGTGGGTTCAGAATTCCTCATCGCCCTTGTACCTAATAATTTCAGCAGTCATTGTCACTGCCTGGGTCCATTCTTTAATATGTCATAAAACAGCCATACTTCATTTTCTCATTGACCATTTGGTTACTCTGAGGAATAATCTGTACAGGAAAGGTAGATTAAGTCTTTATAAGGTTTGTATTTCTTTGATTTTATATTTGGATCTCCTTTTCACCAGTGATAATTTTGGTTTCTAGTAGCTCATTTGCTTCTAAGTTATATGATCCTGTAAGTTGTAGTTCTACAAAATACAGTTGTATGATAGTTATACATAGTACCCTAATGGTTTTAGAACAGTAACAGTAATTTACTACAACAACATTTCTGAAAATAATTCTGAAGCACTTGAGACAGTTCCTCTCCTGTGACTAAACCACCAGTAAGTCGGTCCATTTGTTTTGTTTTGCTTTCAGTATTTAGAGATTGATTTTTCCTCCCATTTTGGTTGAATTTGTTTTGTTTTTGTTAACACAGCCACATGGTTCCTAGTCAGAGCTACAAAATGAGGTTCATGTGAAGGGGTCCCTAGACTTCATCCTGTTCATTCCTCCCCTGGAGGTTGGCCTTCCCACTTTTTAACATAGGCCAATATGTGTAGTCAGCTCTTAGCACTCTTGTACCTTTCAAAATTTTAAAGACCCCCCCCCCCCCAGAAAACCAAAAAAAAACCTTGAGAGGCCGTGTTCTCTGAAAAGTTCATTTGCATGCATGACTGTTGCTCTCTATCCCTTTTTGTGCCCAGAGCTCAGTGCACAGCATTTGGTATAATTTAGAGCTGAGTCTTCAGTGTGATTAAAGAAGCAAATGTGCTTTTGGGAAAATGTGACTGCAGCAATAACTTTTTCCTGACTGAGGCAGGCATGTTTCGTGTGCTTTTTAAATCCACTTAAAGCTGCACGTGTTAAAGCTGTGTCCTGTGCACGTGCTGTTTTTCAGGAGTTGTACCCTGCGTTCTGCATTCACAACGGAGGTTCTGACCTCGAGCGGCTCCCCACAGCCAGCACCTGCATGAACCTGCTGAAGCTCCCCGAGTTTTACGATGAGACACTTCTGCGAAGTAAACTGTTATATGCTATTGAATGTGCTGCTGGTTTTGAGCTGAGCTGAAAGCAATGCTGTATCTGACCTTCTCCAGAGAACCCAGCACCTCCTTCGTCAGCAGCGCCTCCCCAGACCCACGAGGATGCTCAGGCTGGACGCCCACGGCTCTCCTGCACTCCTCCTTTCAAGCCTTCCTTCATTTTTTAAGTGATTTTTATTACAATGTGGTCACTTATTTAGATGGACACTACCTTCCAAATAACTTAAAATAACAAGTGTGCCGTGTGGCTAATTTAGTTATTTTGCCAAGAAGAGCACAGTTTTTAGACTAGTGGCCACTCAGTGAAATTAACCAAAGAGGAAGCTTTGGCTTTGCTGACCAGAGTCGAGTCCCTTCCGGAGCCGGCAGCGCCTGCTTCCTGGGTTCAGACTGGGCTGGGCGGTCTGCAGAGATACAGGGTCTGAGGGGTTGAAACGCTTATTTTCAGGGGGCCCGCTGCTTCTCATGTGGCTGAATTGTTTACAAACCTAATTGTTAAAACTACAGGCGTTTTTCTTCCTGCTACCTTTTCCCAAAGGGGTTAGGTTTGGAAAGTAGATGACGATGGTCATACTATATTTGCTTTTTAAGCCGTTTACTCCACATGGGACGAGCATGCTTATTTTCAGTACGCCATTGAGCTGCATCATGATAGTTTGTGTATCACTGTGTGTTGGTGTGAGGTGGGGACTTCATCCGCTATTCTGTCGGTCTCCGCTTTGTGCCTGGAGAGCTGATGGGGGGTGAGGAGGAGGAGGAGGAGAGTCTGTCCGGCTCCTTCGGCATGTGTGTTGCTGGCAGTACATGATGACTTGGGGGAGAACAGGCACTGTCGCATCTATTAAAGCTGTTTGAACCCAAGTGGCGGGCCAAGCCTTTGTCCCTGATGCTGCTGCGGCTGGGTCTCTCCATGATCCCCTCTCCCTCCTCACCCCTGGGCTGTACCAGTCTTCCTGGATATTCTGGGGTAATTTGCCGTGCCTCGGCACCCTCTGCTTTGTGGTGCTGCTTTGACAGAAAGACGAGACAGTCCCTGACACGTGTCCAGGGAGGAAGAGCGTTCAGTGATTCTCGTAATAAGGCACTTTATCAGGACCTAATTAGTTGCTGGGTGATTTCAGTCTCTAAAAACAAAGCGTTCCAAAGCGTCAGCCATGGAAGCAGAGTGACCCTTTGCTGATGCTGGGGGAGAAGGAATCTAAATCCTTATTCATCTCTTCTCTGTCTAGTATTTTACTGTCACTGGAGGCTCTGTGGACTGTCATAGTTAATTGACCATAATTAGCAATATACTTTTAAATGTGGGAAAACTGAGTGACACTTTTAAGACAATGACCATTATCAAAACAAAATGTATAATTTCTTAATTTGAATAATAAATTAAGTGTTTAAATGCTATTTGTAGTCTTGATATACAGAAATAAAATAATTAGGGTTTGTCTTTGGTTTTATTTTATTTTAGGTTGTTTTGAATGTTCTTATTAGTTAATTTTATATTTTATTATCAGTATTTTGGAAATGGACTATCTGAGACTGAAGAGAATTGGCGATCACACTTATTTGTGGTCTTTTTTTTTTTTTCTCCCCTCAGCTATTCTGAGCTTATTTATTTATTTGTATGTTCTTATGGCTAAATATTTGCATTAAATTTTTTTCCCCCAAATTCTGTTGGAGTCCTACCCCAAATCATTGTGATTAGTTTTATTCTGCTCCAGTAAAAACCACAGCTTCCCAATATTAACTAGCTTTATCACAGGTGTTTAAGTGTCATCAGTTAACACAGTGTAACAACGTAGCCTATGATTACTTAAATCCAGATTTAGTAGGGAGCAGGGCTGTCATCCGTCTGCACTCTGCTGAGGGGCTACGATGAGGTTGGCCTCCACTCAGCCCCCAGCCTATGCTGTGACACCATACTAGAGGCCAGCGCTTCTGGTCACAGGAATCATCTTCACAGCTCTCTACTTGGGTTTAGCATCAAGTTGTTGAGGAAAATTATTCCTAAGGGAAGATTCTCCTTTCTTCATTGTTCTGTTTTTTAATTCGTTCTACCCTACTTTTTGCTTATTTCTGATCGTTTTGTACTCAACCCTAAATGTTAGGTGTTGGAGGGGGCAGTTATGCAGTTGTTTCTCACAAGCTATGATCTGGTTTCAGGTCCTAAGCTCATTACAGCAGCATTATCAAGCCTTGGTGGTCTGCACCGTAGTGTACAGTGTGGTAATCTCTGCTCTGCACACAGCTGTGCTACGGACAGCGAGCTCTGTGCCACGCAGACCTGCCAGTGCTCATGGGACTTGGAGCACAGAAAGGGCTGTGGTGGGGTAAATTACCCTTTCTGGAAACTTCCTGAGGAGGTGAGTGGTGGGCTTGGAATAATTTAATATATGAGCTTTCTTATACTTTAAAGGACAATAAACAGCTAAAGGCACATTATAATTCAAATAAAATAGAAATTCAGGGCCACCACTCAGCTTTTTCAGATTTGCCTGCTCCCAGTCAGAAAGCGTCACATCTAGCACAGTAGTCTGTGTGCAGAATGACACAGCCCATCTGTATGTACCTCCCAGGGCAGTAGGTCTCACCTGGAGTGTGTGTTGTGGGTGAGTTGTTGAGCTCTGTACTTTGGTATCCCTGGGATAAACTCAGGGATTTCGTGGTTTGCAGGTGGTAGCCAAAGTGGTGACCTGAAATGACGGTGACCCAGCAGGTCCAGGTGGGAAAGGGTACCATCTGCTCAAGGTCTCTCCTTCCAGAAAAATTCTGGGGGTAAGTTCTTGAGCCTAAGTACTTTGTGCCTCAGCTTATATATCAGTGGAATGGGGATAGTCTGGATACTTTGGTTTCACGGAAGTGCTCTGAAGATAGGATGAGAGTTATAGGTAAGCTTTTAACTTCAACATTCCATAAAAGCAGAATAGAACCTTACTGTAACTTGTCTGCTTATGTGGTTGAAGTGTTGCCCTGTAATGGCAACATCACTGCTGCTGCCTCCTCCGCGGGGTTAGGCAGGAAGCAGTAATCCTCAAGTACTCTTATATGCGTTTTCCTTGCCTCCGTATTTGTTGTAGAGGGATAATTCATGTCATGGCTCAGAGAAGGACTGCCGAGGCCTGGCGATGACAATAGGAGGCCATCCCACCAGCAGTTACCAGAAGTTAGCTGGTAACTAGTGACTAACTTGCTTTGTGACTTCTGTAGTGCCTTCTTTATACTAAAAATGTAGTCAGCTGAAGATCTCTTCACTTTACGCCAATTCCACGGCTCAAATGAGATTTCCCACCCCTGGCCTCATCTGCCCCGGCCTGCAGAGCAGCAGAGCAGGGTGGAGGGCCTTAGGGTGTCACAGAGGAGCATTGGGTGTCTCCTGCATTCAGAATAAACACAACACATATCTTATAACTTGCCCAATAAAGCAATTATGTCATGGGAAGTAGCCTTTTTGCATTCTTGAATTTAATATGAAGATTATTATTGTTCAATATTTGAACCCAAACAATTTGGTTGATGGGAATGTGTCTAAGACTTATTGACAGTGCGAAGTCTGAGTATCTCCTTGAATGGCCCAAATTGCAGACAGAAGCCCGCCTCTGTGATGGGAGCTTCACCTGCAGGAAACAGGACGCGGGCATGAACTGGTGGGCGTCACCCCACCTGGCAGAGTATAGCTCACAGGACGACGGCTTATTTGACCAGAGAGCTGGAGGGGTGTAGTGAACAATGCCCCAGGTGCTCAGGTCAGCAAGGGAACCGCAGACAGCAGTGGCAGAGCTTTTCCGGCATTGTGTGGCTGCCGCAGCACATCACCACAAGTTGGGTGACTCAAAACAGCGTTTATTCTCACAGTTATGGAGTCCAGAAGGCTAATCAAGGTCAAAGGGCTGCACTCCAGTCTGTTTTCTGTCTCCACAGCTTCTGGTGGCTGCATTGCTCCAATCCCTGCCTCCCTGGTCACGGGCCTCTGTCTCGAATCTCGGGCCTTTCACTTGTTAAGACAATCCAGCCCACCCAGATAGTCCAGGATGATCTTAAGATCCTCAACTTCACGACCCTTAGTCTTAACAGGGCCACACCCACAGGCTCTGGGGCTCAGGATATGGACTTGCTTCATGTACTGAATTATTCTAGGAGATGGTTTGCCACTCCACCTGAGAACCGAAGCAGTGTGGTAGGTGGCCCTTGGGACAGGCGGGCTCCTGTCCGTGCCTCCTTCACAGTCTCCATTTGACAGTAAAAAGGGGGGGTTGTACCAGATCTGTGTTTCCCCAGACTTGCTGAGAGTGAGTCTCTAGGGGTGGAGGGTCACAAGTTTGTATTTTTAAAAGTGTCCTAAGATCATTCTTCACAGGTGATTTTAGGAAAACAATCCTTTTCAGTGCTGATAACTTGCAGGCTGCATGGCATCCCGACTGATGTGCCTGGATATGTTCCTGGTGTGCTGGGAAACGCGGGTGTCCTCAGTTCCTGAGTGAGTGTGCCGTCAGGTTCCTTGGAGAGAGGGCAGGAGCAGTGTCTAACTGCGCTGCCATGGCCCGGCCCAGCCTTCGGCCTGTCTGCCCAGCCTGGACTGTGCCCTGTGCTTCAGACCTACAGCTGCCTGCTGAGCTCTCCTGGCGTGCTAGGCGGCATCACACTCCAAGACATCTGCTGACCTCCACTCCTGTACCAAAATCCCTGTGCTGTCCTTGCCTTCTCTGCAGCCCAGTCCCCATACCACTGTGTTACAGATCCTCATAACAAAAATCTGACTACTACTTGCCTCTCTTCTCTGCCACCTCCCTGTCTCAAGCCATTGTCTTGGACTTGCCTGGGTTTGCAGTATTCAGAGCGTTCTCCATCCTCTGTCCTTGCCCACGCCAAAGTCCTCCTCGATCCTAAGTCAGTTCTTGCCATTCCTCTGGGCAAGACCTCCCGGCATCTCCCCATCTCAGGAGGAGCTGAAGGCCTGTGTGGTTTGGTGCCGGGTGCTGTGTGACTTCATCCCCACCACCCTTCCACCTTGCTAACTCGGCTCTCCTGGCTTCCTGGACATTCCTCCCCTGGCCTTGGGGCCTCTGCACATGCGCGCCCCAGCTCTCTCTGCTTGGAAGACGCCCCTCGCATTCTCCAGGCCGTGCTTCGCTCATTGTCACCTCACTTACGCTACCGCCCCGCCCCCACGCCCGTCTTCCCTCGTCTGTCTCTAGCGCTGTGCTGTCTGATGTCCAGTGCGTTTCACTGGGGCATCACTCTCCCCTCCCCCAGAAGGTAAGTTCCACCAGGGTGGAAGTTTGCTCACTAAGATGCTGTGGCTTCTTTCCCCTCTGGGTACCGTTCCTCAAAGTGCTGCAGCTGTCTCACCGCTAGACGGGATGAAGAAAGGTAGGAGTGGAAAGGGTCCCAGCACAAGGGAAGGCGCCGCACACCTGAGCACAGCACACACCCCCGTTTGTACGGGAGCACCAAGTCAGCATTTCAGTTCACAAAGGCGCCCACGACAGACACGGGACACAAACACCACAGGGGGATTTCCCTTCCTTCTCTGGACACTCCTGAGTAGGATGTCGTATGGGTGACTCTCAGGGTCAGAGCATGGTATTTTCTTCACATTAGCATATATTTGACTGTCACTGGGACACCATATGCTGCCTAAACAGCATACCTCCTTCTGTTGGAATAAAAAGGTCTTTTCATAAATAAATAAGTACATTTCTGTGTACCAAGCACCTAGAGTAATGCCCAGCACATAGTAGGTGCTCAACAAATACTTGCTGAACGAATGGATTTGCTCTATGAAGAAAGGTTTTACTAACCAAGATAAGTTTCAAACTAACGCCTGTCCAGTTTCAGGTTCTCCATCGTTGGGCCAAATTTCTCACAGCTTTGAGCACTTCACTCCCACGTCCAGCCTTCGCAGAGGACAGAAGAGAGGCGGGTGCTCGGAAGGCCCACCCCGTGCTGGCCCTCAAGGGTGCGTCCGCGAGCCCTCTCTGCTCCAGCTGAGGGTTTCTGGCCTCCCGGGTGCTAACTCCGTGCTCGAAAGCGTGTGTCAGCTGCGGGTCTGGGCAGTGCACAGGCTCCCTCTAGTGGTCAGGAGCCGGTACCTGCAGTCAGGGCTGGTGAGGACCACTCAGCCAGCGACCAGGGAGCTAGTGACCTGTCATGAAGCTTTTATGTGTTCACAGGATCAAGAGCATTATCCTACTGGTATCTCTTCGTCACAAGGGGACTATTAAAATGACAGGAATATAAAACAATCCCTCTACTAGAACGCTAAAGTTTATTTTTTTGAGAAATGTTTAAAATCCCATTGCCTTTAAGTTTCTTAAAATGCTACACATAGAGTTACCATGTGAGTCAGCAGTTCCACTCATAGGTTTATACCAAAGAGAAGTGAAAGACACAGACAGTTGTGCACAGATGTTCCCAGAAGCATTATTCATAATAGCCGAAAGGTGGGGAAAACT